GATATTCAAGCAAACCACACTTCATGAGGATTATAGGTGAAAGGATAAATAGGGGTAACAATTACATCAAGTTTCTTCCAAGAAAAGGATAAGGCTCAAAGGGTGTTCAAGTAAAGTTCACACACTCACAAGGTAGGCCACAAAAGAGGTATAATGTCAAATTGTTTCACTCTTCAAGATTGTTGCCTAAGATCATTTCAAGAGCTTGCATCACTTAGTCAACCAGACCAACGGGGAAAATTCTAGATGTCATCAAAAAGGTTCACAGTAAGCTCATCACACAAGGCATTGACACCAATATCAAACAAGACTCAACACTTTCACTAGTGTGAAATGTTCATCACAAGAGACTCATTCCCTACCCGGCTAGTCACAACGAGATGCAAAAAGTTCACATATTATCTATGCAACTTCATTTGGCCTCACCGTAGACATACGTTCATTTTTGTTCGATTGAGAGAACTATTCAAGTCACCGGTATTGATCATAACGATACTCAAATTTGCACAAGAACAACCACAATTAAACACACAAGAGGTGGCAAAAATTTTCAGAAGGGTCCAAAAACCATATGCAATTAAAACAAGGAGCCACAAGCTCAAACATCCACACCACAGTGCCAAAATAAAATTTACAGCACAAAACTCAATATATGACAAAAGTAATAATAACAAAAGGTAGGTATGGAAATTCCTCACCCCACCACGAACAAAAAGTAATTTGTCCTCAAATGCAATAAAAACACTAAAAATCAATAAAAGTGACAGAGATGAAGGTAAAGAAAAGTCCTGTCTACGCAGTCGCTCCATCTGTCGGGGCATCAATGCCCGGTGAAGCATCAGCAGCACTCGTTCCACTAGGGCACGTCATGGACGTCTCTGTCAGTGATGTCTGAATCACTGACTGTACAATCTTCTCCTCCAGATCTGGCAGGTCTCCATAGATGGTCTCCTCCGACACCTCTATCTGCTCATCGTCGATCTCTGCCTCCGATTGATCAGCTGCTATGTCATCCATTCATACGTCTCCAGTGGTGGCCGGAGGAATATCAGAGATAGTCAGGGTATCCACATCATCAGCTGCCTACAAAAATGAAGGGAAGTCTGTGGACTTCAAGTAGTCCACATCCTTTCTCAAATCAGCGACTTCGGCTTTTAAAGATGTCACCTCTGAAGTCGCCCCCTGTCCACTCTCACAAGTCTCAACTCTCATTGTGATAGTGTAAATAGATTCTCGTAGGAATGTCAGTGCAGCTAGGATAGCACTCTTGATCATCCATGGTACCGCAACCTCCAATTGAGTAGCCTTCACATCCGCAGAATGGGCTAGGTGCCCCATCTTCAGGATCATGGCCTGAGTAACCCTGGTGGGCTGGGAAGTAGTAGAAGCACCAGGAGCCTAGGAGGAAGAAGTGGAAGCAGGTGTACCTGAAGGCTCGGAGGCCGGAGTAGGCAAATGTGCCTCTACAGGAATCATCGTAACATCAATCTCTCAGGATGTGTCCACTGGAGCTGCTCTCCTTCTGTCTACATCCTCTCGCGTGTACTCGGCCTCCATATGCCGGATGTCTGTGGAGGATGTGGGACTGACCTCAATATCTCTCGTCTCATTACGAGGAACTACATCCCACCGACATAGCTTTGTACTCAAGACCGGGAAGGGAAGAGACGTCTGGCTCTGCTTGGCCCTCATGGCCATCTCCTGCTCTATGATGAGTCCCAAGTTAAGGGTCTTCGTGGCTATTATGGATCCGAGATAGGCTACTTTTGAGTGGGAAATGATGGACTCATTCTATGATGGCATAATGGAGCTACTGACTAATTTTGTGATGGCATAATGGACTCTCTTGTGACGGCATAAGAGAGCGGTACGTGTTTAAGATTTAATGGTAAAGTGTGAACATGGTCAAATCAGTAATAAGAATAGAAATTGTCGAATAAGAGCATCATTCAAATCAGGGGGTGACACGAGTGTCAGCTGGGGGGTTTTGGTTTGAGATTATCTACTACAACAACAGTAAACAATACGAAATAACAATAATGAGATGGGTTCTTGGGATGTGATTCGATTATAGGCTAATATAGACAAATGGATAATTGCAACTATTAGAAAATAGCTAGATATTAGTGAGTAAGCTAGACTATAGAGAAGGTAAACTTTCTCTCGAACAAGTTATCCCGAATCAAGTCAATTTCTCTCGAACATCGACAAGCATGCAAAATAAGAACAACCCACATCTTAGTCCATTTACTCTCTCAAGCTAAATGTGGGGAATTGGGTTTAGGATTCACTCTCTCGAGCTGAACCCATGACAGCCCAATACCCACTAACCATCAATCAATAATCTTAGTTTTAAAACCTCTCTCTCGAGCAAGCCAAAAACCAAGGGTAGAACTGCATTTGCAACTACAATTCTTAAATTAAACCACAATTACTGATTGAACCCACTTCTAAATAGCATTTAAACTAACAATTAGCAATACCCATAAACTAAATTAGCCCATAATCAAACCCCAAGAATTGGGGTTTTAACTAGACATTATTAAAAGATAAAAATTGTTACCAAATTGAGTTTCCATCAACTTGGTAAGATTGATTTTGTCTTTACAATGGTCCAAGTTGAAGAATCTCAAAGACCCACTTCCAATTTCTCAAAAGTGAAAAATTTTCAATTCTTCAAAGCTAAGGAAAACTAGAGAAAACTTGTCTCTCAGTTCAAAACTCTCCAAATTCTGTTCTAAAGACTAATTGATTATGAATAATGATTGATACTAAACTAAATGTTCAAAAATGTGTTGCGAAGAGCTACTCGATGCAGTAAGTCGGGCTTGCCTATCCACTCGGTGATCCACCCTTTGGTTAATTCCATCGCCCTTCTGCCTTGGCCTGCAGAATCTTCAAGGTCTGTAACTTTGGACGATCCAACACTGCATCGCGGAACCACTCAGCTATCCGTCGACTGCTCCTTTCTCTAGCCAACTTGGTTCTTTCCTTCAGGGTTTGGCACACTGGAACTTTAGGCTGTCAAATGAGCCACTCGGCGACACGCCAAGTGCTATTGGCGATCTTCAGGCTTGCCCTTCTTTATTTCCTCAGCTTGTTTTGTTCCTTTTTGCCTGTTAGTGTCCTTGCATTTCTCCTCAATCCATATACTTGAAAATCAAGGCATTAACATCAGTTTATAGCACAAATTAGGCATTTGAGGACACTAAATCTATCAAAATGCAGCCCTAAATGAGTCGTGGGACTCTTCAATGGTCATTGGAAAGCAGATAAACGAGTTCTCTGGTATCTCAAAGAAATTGTAAGTTCAGGACTTCGCATCCTTTGCAGTTCTGACTCTAATTTGTATATGTATGCTGATGCGGACTGGGTTGGTGATCCAAATGACAGAATTTCTACTTCAGGTTACATTCTTTTCTTTGGACCAAATCCAGTCAGTTGGTCGTCAAAAAAGTAACATGTTGTGTCTCGCTCATCCACCGAGGCCGAGTACAAATCAGTCGCCAATGCACTTGCAGAGCTTACTTGGGTGCGAAACTTACTTCATGAATTATAAGTCACCATTCTGAAGACACCAACCATCTACTGTGACAATGTTGGAGTTACTTATTTATCTCACAATCCATTGTTTCATACTCATATGAAACATGTTGCTGTCGATTTTGCATATGTCCATGACTAGGTTCAAGCTAATCGAGTTCAAGTTTCTCATACTCATGCTTGTGATCAACTTGTTGATACCTTCACCAAGCCACTGCCTAAATCAGCCTTTACTAGATGTCGTTCCAAGTTAGGTATTGTTACATCATGCCTAACTTGAGGGGGTGTATTAACGTATCTTAAGTTTCAGCTTGCTTTTGACCAAGTCATAGGATAGTATTTTATTTATCTTATTTACTGCTTTATTATATATTGACTAAGTCTCCTGATGTGGAGCATATCTAGGAGTAGTTGCCTACAGTTTAGCTTAAGTTAGTTGTAGTTTATATATTTAAGATGGCTGGCAGATTTCAATAAGGTCATCTTTTGACCTCCTTCTCATCTCAATATTTATAAGTTGGAGGATGTGTGTTGATTATAGAGCCTTGAATCAGATCATAGTTAAAGAGAAAATCCATATATCAGTCATTGAGGAGTTGCTTGATGAGTTACGAGGCTCTAAAATTTATTTTGAGATGACTTGAAATTTGGATATCATCAAATCAAAATGTCTGTTGGACATATTTCTAAAATAGCATTCAAGACTCACTCCGGACACTTTGAATACTTAGTTATGCCCATTGGCTAACTTATGTCATTCCGGTTTTCAGAACCTAATGAACTAATAACTTTCAATAACATTTGTGAAAGCTTATCTTAGTGTTTATTAATGACATTTTAGTCTATAGTAAATCGAAGATCGTGTGCAACATTGAGAACTACTTTTGACATTCTAAAGCAAAACAAGTTATTAGCCGAAAGGACCAAGGTCTCATTTGTTTTCATTAATATTAAGACGTCTGAATTTGAATGCACATTTGAATGATTAAGATGTTGTCTGTAGGAGTGATTAAGACGGTTTGTTTTTAAGAGTAAATATTATAATTTTAAAAAATAGTAATTAAATATCACACTAATAAAATATTGAAAAAAAACGACACTCTTTGATAAACATTAAGATATTTAAATTATAAATAAATATTTTAGATGCTTTATATGCCAGTCACCAAAAAGTTCAACATTTCTTAGCAAAGATGAACATTTTTTCTTTTTATAAACGGTGGTGTCTGCACCAACTCACAAGCACCTCCACTATATTACCAGACAAATGCTCTACCTTCCACCAAGACTTGGAAAGAGGGAAGAGTCTGGTTCAAAAGGTGAACCTTTAGTCTATAAACTGTAGGATAGTCTCCTGTTACTTTCAGCATAAATCAAAAGATTCAGAACTACAACTACCTTCTGATCTCTAGACTAGTCTCTTGTTCCTCCTTTTGTTGCTGTTAAAAAAAGAAGACAAAAAAAAGTATCTTCTCCTGATAGCAATGATACAAGATGTGACTGAAATATTCACAACATGACCTTATTGTTCAATTGCAAACAACATCAGAGTAGAAGCCTATTGTCCTACGCTTGCAGTCTTGGACGTCTAGCAATTCCACATCAAAAACTTCAAACTGTTTTGAGCTAAAAAATGTTGAAGGCCCAACCTGTGAGACATGGACGACATTGCAAAAATATCAAGATGCAGTTCTACTTATGCATCTTCCAGACACAATAGAGTACTAATTTACATCCTAGTTTCGAGAAATACACTTCATAAGTGTGGCTCTAAATGTGATTTTCAAGGTGTTGACAGCCTATATTTTGGTCAAGCCGGAAGGAAATTGCAATGGTTGCCTCAATGTGACTTTTGCCTAAATGTAATTTAACGTTTTACTAAACATTTCTTGATCTATGTACACAATATCCTAACCTTGAAAAAAATCGTGCAAACAACAATACGTTCAGTTAACACCATTACTTTTTGGATGAAAGAAAAATTATGTGCTAAGCATTAATAATTATGTGCATTAAGAGCTCAAGCCACACCTCACCTATTCATCTATCATGGAAGGAATAAACCATGATCCACAACCATTAATATGCATATTGATTTATGTTTTCTTAATATTACAGAATTAAAAAATGTAAGTTTCCCCTTCTTTTTGTATTTGTTATCTAGAATGTAATTTTATATTTAATTATTTGGATAAGTTAACACTCAACAAACAAATAAAAGGTTCCTTTTTCATTTGTAAACCTTTTTATGCTATGGAAAATTGTATAACCATAAGTTGGGCAGGAAAAAAACAGTAATGACATGATTTAGAATTGATGTTTTTTAATAGCTTAACTGATTTAAAAGGGTTTCAATTGCTAATGATCACTTACTTTTATGTACTAATGTGAAGTGTAGCCTTTATCAATCCAAATAACAAAAATAATACTCCCTCCGTCCATGTTTGACTTGACACCCTCCTTAAGAAGCAATAAATAAAATGATAGTTTTACTTAAGGGGAAATTTTGACCTCCCCCACCCCCCCTCCCACCCACCCTACAAATACAATTACATGTAGGACATATTATTTCTCAAAACTAATGTGCAATAGAATCTTGTTAAACTACTTGATTAAAACAGTATCAGTACACCTAGGTCCAAGTAGGTGTTTTGAGTTCAAAATTACTCCAACATATAGGAACTCATCTTTGAGGTGGCGGAACACATATATATTCTCTCTCATTTTGAACCTTGCAAGGGGTACTCCAACTTAAGCCAAACTGTCTAAATAGGTGAGGAAGACGAAAGAAATTACTAAAGCGATTAAAAGGGGTATTATTGGATGAAGAGTTCCTTGTCTTCTGTCGGTTAGCAGAATCAGAAATAGATTCTTATCAAATAAATGATATCAGAAGAATGCAACAGGCTACATAGCAGTTTAGATGCTTATTTTATTACATAACAACTTTAGATGATACTAATTATAAAAGAATCCAACTGAAGAGGAGATTTAAGGACACTTACCGGAGGTCCTAGTTCTGGAGGTATGATTATCCTCCTTTTGCCCCCAGGTCTCATGTCTCTAATTCCTTCCTCAAAACCTGCAATCATACTTTTCTGCTTATTACAAATTTTCTCTGAGAGGTAAAGATGTTACAAGATTGTGTGTTAGCTTAGATCACCTGGGACCAATGCTTTAGTGCCCATCCGAATCTTTGCAGGAGAACCTTGAATGTATGTGCTGTCAATACGACGTCCAGACTCGTTATAACCAATATAGTGGAAAGTCACCTGCCAATGGTTAAAGAAATTTGGGTATGAATGCAGCAATGCAAATAATCAGCGAAAAGTAATCTGTTTATCATTTTTTAATGCAATTAAACCTTGCTTTCTCTTTAATTTGAAATCTGATGTCCTTTTTTCAAAGGAAAAATAAAGTGAAATACAAAAGGATCATCGCTAAGTCGAGGTGCCAAGTTGTACTAAGCCCAACAGAGCTTCGTAATGATATAACCAGCCTAAGTCAGCTCTTTTGCATTCATACATATGTCAGAATAACTACATAACACTTAAAACAGTCCCCTTTCTCTGACGGAAAATAGATTTCACAATGATTGTCCTTAGTCAACTTCATAGAACTCAGGTGTGAAAGATCAAAGTGACTTACCAAGCTTTCAGTTCAGCAATGACTACATAAGGAGCCCAGGTAGTTAATATTGAATTATATCGAGTAAGTGACATTTTGTTTTGGTACTCAAAAATCCATAAAGAAACAACTAACAACTATCACCCATCACTGAAGTAAGTCTAACATAAGTCTACATTGGACAGAGGAAAACCACTATCGGAAGAGTAAGATATGTTAATACACACATCCAAGGATCATCTTAATTACAAACCAAAATGGTAAAAGACTACAGTACTAGATGCAATGACCTGTGCCGCGACAGTTTCTACAAAATCAAATGAAACTTATGAATGCAATAACATACAAACAAAACAATTACATAATAAAGCATATAAAAAATGATCATAAAAGGAAATGCATTTTTTTATCATGAATGTACCATATTGGTTCCAAGTCTCCGGTAGAGAAATGAATGTACGAACAGTATACTATTTTCCCAATAGGATATATATATTCAAAATAAATGACAATTTAATAAAAGTAAATCACGTTTTTCAGGAACAAAGAATGAAAGAAAACCTGTTGACCATCCTTTGGGCAATCACCTTCACCAACAGAAAAATCCCGCAATATAAGACCTGAATCACGCTTTTCATAGTTGTCAGGCGTTACTACTTTAACTGTAAAACCTGAAAAAGGATTTGAAGAGTCACTATCACATTATAAAGTATCGTGGTATCAAAAGAAGGAAATGGATGTCTAACTACTGATGTCTTAAACTTGGGTACTACACATGGTCTTTTCCACCCACACAGTCCCTCATGGGTAAACAAACCTTCTCTGATGAAACTGGGAAACTCTTCAGGGGCATTATTTTCTCTCTGGATCCGTTTGTTCTGCTCTAGTAAGCGTCTTTCATCATACGGGTTTTTACTCTTTGTTTTCCCAAAAGCTGGAAAAGCGGGAGATATGCCGGATGTAATCAGAAAAAACAGGAGAGATCTGCGCTTCATATTGTCCTCATAATGCAATACATTTACTTTCTGTTCCCTAACCCTGAAAATATTCTGTATTTCAGCTACAAAAGATTGACATTGTGGTTAAAAGTTAGGTTACCTTTTATCTTGTAATGTGGCAGCTAAGCAACACTGGAATGTTGACTTCTTTCTGGGAAAAGATTTAGTTGTATGACAAGCTGATAAAGTATCTAAATTGATAATAAAACAAGTAGTTTAATAAAGGGATTAATGCATGACAAACCATAAAGATTACCTATCAAAGGCTGGCAAATGTAGCTTAAAGGACCCTATATTGTATTCTCATGGCAAAAAATACATGGAAACAACAACAACATACCCAATGAAATCCCACAAATGGGGTCCGGGGAGGGTAGAGCGTACATAGGCATACCTTATCGCTACCTCGTGGAAATAGAGAGGTTGTTTTCGAAGGACCCTCAGCTCAAGTTCAATTCTTTGTCAATATCAAATATTGAAAACAGGAAGTAATACACACACCACTTGACATGGTTAAGAAGATGCTAAAAAATTGAGCTAGGAATACTGTTAATCCATTAGTATAAACAATAATCTCAACTTCCTAGAGGAAATTGTTCCCTAAGTTAACATATAATCCTATATGAGTTCACATTGCTAGTCCAAAGCCTAGATAAAAGGAGAATAGTTAGTTAAACAACACATATGAAACTACTTAATTATGATGAATCCTCCCAATATCGAATGCCTTGGCACATGCTCTCCAACAACACCAGCATACCTAGTGTATTCCCACAAGTGGGGTCTGGGGAGGATACACAGCTTTACCCCTATCTTATGAAGGCAAAGAGGCACGTGCTTTCCGAGGATTTAAAAAACATTGGAATAAAATGTATCAAGTGGAGCCAATTCCTATAGCTAAACCTATAGGTGTAGCTAGAACTAAATGTTACTCCCTCGTTCCTTAATTACTTGTCCACATTTCTTTTTTTAGTTGCCCCTAATTACATTAAGAAATGACACAACTAACTACTTTTATGGTAGAACTTCTTGAAAATGTTAAGTTTTTTAATTGATTACTTCATAATTAATAGGGATAAAATGATAAACTCACTATATCAATTATTTTTTTCTTAATAGGTGTGTCAATTCAAAAATAGACAAGTAATTACAAACAGAGGAAATAGTAATTTGGAGACAATTCTTGGGGGGATAATATAGCATTTAATTAAGGTGAAAGGGAGATCAAACAAGAAAAAGGCATTCACATTGTTCATCATAGCAAAGCTATCAAATAGGAGAAACACAAAGAAGATAAATAATTCGAATAATTTCTGAAGCAAAAGTAATGTAAAAGTGTCAAAAGCGAAGAGAGGAATTACATGGAGAAGAAATGTTGGACAGATTGAGAAGCATGACTTTGTCCTTTCTATGGAAAAGATTGAAGCTTTCAGAGCATTAACAGTCACTCAATTGCAATGGAAAAATGGCTGCTCTGTCGTTTATTTGGGGAAAACAAACAAATGTTAATACAGAGCAACTTTATCTTCTCTTCACTTTGGAATTTGTATACATAACTACTAGATATTGACAATAAAACCCCTAACATATCTTCATATTAACATTCTGCTTCCATATTTCATTTTTCTTTCCTTCTGCCTCCAGTTTGGTTGAAATATGTAAATCAATGTCTATCCATAAAGCATAAATATCTCCTAAATCATGTTAGAAATTCTATTGATAGATATAGTTACACTTAACTAGAGTTCTATTATCCCTAAACTATTTTAAAATAAAATAAATATATCATAAATGAGTATTTCGCAATGAGAGTGTGTGAACAATGAAAAAGTAAATATTTTTTTAATTGATTATTCACAATTAGTTAGTACATATAATTATTGACATTAAAACAATAAAACTTATATATATTTTATTTTTTTCTTTGTAAAATATGTATTTTCCTCCTTATTTAACTTTTTTTTACTCTTTTCCTTTTTATTAACTTTATCTCTTCACTTTTAATTATTTTTAAAAAATTAAGTATATTTTATTTTAAAATAATAGTAATATTTTTTTAAAAGTGTCCTTAGATTTAACTTTTCTCTTTTAAACGTATTTTGATATTTATCCTAAATTAACTTATTTTAAGTTCAAGACATTTGGGATTAAAGTTGAAATCAAATCAAAAGGAAAGACAAAGAAAATAAAAGAATAAAAATCAATTGAAAAGGAGAAAAAAAAAACAATGAATGAAGTTAAAGAAAAACTAAATACAAGGTAAAAAAAATTAAAAATTATGTATATCAACTTAGTTTAGATAGAAGATAAAGAAAATAAGAAGATTTAAAAAAAAAATTAGAAAAAAAGATTTATACTTGTGTCTGCGCATATTATATATGCAGCCAAATTTACTTGATTGAAGGTGTCACACAAGTACAAAAGGTGCATGAAAATATTTTTTAAATTGAGTTTTGAAAAAGGGGTATTTAAGCTAGAAACTCATTATACAAAACTTATTCCTTTATTTTATATATCAAGTTATTTATTGAAAAATTAAACTTTAGATTCGTCATTTTTTACGTCTTTCTTTGTTTAGCAACTGACTGCGATTAATATCCACTAATTTTAGAAACTTACATATTTTTATTTAAATTTATTTTATATTTCAAAAAAATTATTAAAAAATATTATACTATATTTAGTATTATCTTATTAGGTGCAGACCTCATACGTTTCCTTCCATATCCATAACGTTTCCCTCCAAAGACGGGTAACCAGAAAATCAACTCTGCCGTTATAAACCATATGCTAACTTCCTTTCTTAAATTTTATTATGGCATGTAATAAATTTTTAAGGATTTTTTTATCATATTAATTTTATTGTTAACCTATTATGACTGGTTAATTATTTTTTATAGTATTATTTTACCACAATACAAATATTAATTGATATTTCCTCTATTCTAGATTATCTGAATTTGTGAAACAATACACACATATTAAGGAAAAAAACATTTTGAACATAATTTAAATTATAATTTCCATTATAAACAGTAGTGTAATTTTTCTCCTAGAAAATATAAAACTTTATTTAAAATTATGATTTTATTTTCAAATATCCATCTCGAACTCTGAACAATTTTCAATTATTTTGGATATTGAAATTTTTTTTTTAGAAAGCTTCACCGAGAAAGTACATAATTTTATATCTAAATTAAGAAATGAATAATTAATATTAAGGGTAATCTGATTTTACAAAATAATGTGTGTTTTCTAAAATTGATTGTATGTACAGGGCCTCATAGACGAGAGAGTTTGTCTGTTGAGAGAAAAAGCAAGGTATAGAAAAAAGAGAGAGAAAGTCACAAAAATTGTTAGAGAGAGAAAGTCACCCACTCTATATGCCCTTTGAACAATTAGATTTCACCCAACAACCAAGAACCTTTCTTCAACCCATCAAATTTCTCTTCTTTTTTTCTTTTTGGAATTCTTGTTTCTTGATTTTATTGTTTTAGTCCATACATCAATTTTCTTCCCTTTTGGGGGATTGAGTTTCTTGTTTCTTGTTCTTGTTATTAAATTAAATATGGCTTGGAAAAGATACATGCTTCAATCCAATTCTTTTTGGGTTTTATCTTGCTGTTGGAATATGTGCAATTTTTGTCCAGTTTAGTTTTTTGCTGCATTTGATTTCAGTTTTGGTGAGTAAACTGGTGCCTGAATTGAATTTATTTTTCTGGGTTTCTAATTTCTTCTGTTCATGTGCTTTTTAATTACTTAATTCATTTTTTCAGGTTCTGGGTCTTTCTATTCATACTGTATAGGAATAAAAATTGGACCTTTTTATTAAGTTTGGATCCAAATTATTTTTGAGGGTTTTGTTTAGTGCAAAATAGAAAAATGTATATTGAAGAACTGAAGGAGGAGGAGGGGGAAGTAGTAAACATGGAGGAGAAGTTTTGTGATGATACTTGTGAAGGTCCATTGGCTGTTTCGGATGCGAAAAGGGCTTTGGTTGGAGCAGGGGCTCGTGCTCTTTTTTATCCTACATTGCTGTATAATGTTGTGAGAAACAAGATTCAGACCGAGTTTCGATGGTGGGATAGGGTTGATGAGGTATCATTTGTACCTATCTGTATTCATCTTGCTTACTATTACAAATTATTGTTGTTGTTTATGTATATATTGATTTTAAGTTCTAATTTCATATTGCATTGTATAATATTAGTTGGTCAATGTCATTTTTCCTAACATCTCCTGTGTTGGTAATTAGACTTCTTCAATTTATAATAGAAGTAAATGTTATTGACTTTAAGATGTGACACATAGTTTGACTAGTCCAAGTAAGCCAGGATCAAGTTCTTAGTATTGCTCTTTCATTTGTTATCTTTCTTTGTCATTTTAAACAGTAAACCCCATACGCAATACCCATTGCCCTGTCAAGGAGACAACGGTAGCTTTTTCCACTTTGCTCCCTTGGTGACTTGAATCCAACCTCTTGGCTGGCGTCGAGGAGATTATCCCTCCCTTATCATTTGTTTCATCTGTGCATTGCTCTCTTGATAGTAACTTCAATCGAGAGCTACAATTGGAGCTGCACTCTTTTAACTTGATAAACTATTGTCCATGTTACTTGTTCAAATATTCCATTAATAATATTACTTGGGAAGGCCTAAAGGAAAATCAAGTTATAGATGTGAATGTTCTCAAAAGTTCTTTAACCTTTACTGCCTCAAGCTCACCTTCTACATTAGGGCGTGATTTGTTACTCACTTTTATATAGAGTTTATGCTTCTAATATTTCGACCACATATTTATGGGATGTTTGGTTATCCTTTTAATTTCCCATTAGGTGTTCATAAATCAGTTTGTAGATTGTTAGGCTCTAAAACTAGTAGCTTGGCTCAAAATTTGTCACGAGTAAGTACAAAATTATGAGATGCAACTGCTGTAATCAGAGAAACTTCAGTGGTTGTCAGAGAGATCCATTATAGGATATGCTATCTTAGTATTAAGTTGCAATGCATATGGTTGGATTGTTTTCTCTAACGTCCTCTCATTGCTATGGTGCTTAACATGGAAAAATTAGTGCTGAGTATTTAATATAAGAGGTTTTCTAAGAAGTTGATACCTTTTCTATGTCACCGTTGTAGAAATGCAGTGTTGGAGGTCCAGATGTGCAACTGTAACAGTTGGCGACATTAATTTATAATGCTCCATTTTTCACAGATTCTCTAATACTTTTAGCTGCTTTGGTTTGGTGAATTTGATTAATTCTGTACCTATTCTCCTCTACCCTTCTTCTTTCAATTTAGAGTTGTAAATTATGTGTTCGCTGTGTATTCTCTTATTTTGTGCGGGAGGTGATTGCATATCATCATCCTGTTTACTCCCCTTGTCCTTTGCTTTCTCGGGCTAGGTTGTGATATTTGAAGAAACCGTTTCCTAAGTTTTTACATTTCAAGATTAAAATGACTGGGTGTTCAAGAAGTATAAAATTTAGGATTCTTTTACCTGACAGTGGCACCAATTTGCGTGATATGGCCAGATTGTACTTAATCTTACCGCGGACATGATAAGGGTAGAAGGTTAGAAGGTAGTCGAACGTTGTCTTAGTATTAGCGTATTCATGTAGTCTCTGGCTTGGTGGCAGCCTAGAGCACCGTGTTTGTCATAGTATGAGCCTATTAATGCAATCTTGGGCTTTTGGTATCTATTATCATGTGCTGTTTACTAGGTTTAGGTAATCGCGCCTTCTTGTTGATGTTACGGTTCCTTACATATATGTTCCCCCTTGCTTTCCTATTAGTTGTCATGTTTTTCTCCATTGTCGTTTTTTCTTTCCATTACTACTATGATTTGCTTTACTTGAGCAGAGGGTATTTCAGAAACAACCTCTCAACGAGGTAGAGGTAATGTCGACGTACACTCTACCATCCCCAGACCCTACTACGTGGGATTTCATGGGGTATGTTGTTGTTGGGCCAAATTGTACTGAATGAAAAAGGAACTTAGTGGATACAAAAGAGTTACACAAGTATTTTGAATTGGGTGTAAAGCAAATGTAAGGAGAAGAAAATTAGTATCCTTTTAGGAAAGAGTTTTAATAGCCTGTCCCTCTTATTTTGCCACTGTCCTTTCACTTCCATTCCTTTTCATTATCCAATCTCTCTCCCCTCCCAATTCTTGATCCAAATATTTGCAGTTCTTGTAGACTTGTCAGCATTTCTGGTTTATTGATTCGAGCTGCTTTCAACAAAAATTTCATTTATATACAGCTACCATGTGAATTTGAGCTGTTGTTAATATTTGTTCATGCACTACCATATTGTGGGTTTTAGAGTTTTCTCAGTTCGTTCTTTTGTTATCTGTCCTTTTATCAGAGCAGATCATATCTCTGAAGTATTGTCTCTCAAAAGTAAAATGCATGTATTGAATCATACATTGGGGTCTAACCATTTATCTTTTCTTTCACTTTTTGTTTTCAGTTGATTGAGGTGTTGTTAGTTTTTATTGATTAATTTTCTATTTTTCAGTTCATACTGTTAGGAGCTGTTCCATTTCCTGCTGATGTCCCTCGCTTGAAGGCTCTAGGTGTTGCTGGAGTGGTTACGTTGAATGAATCATATGAGACTTTGGTCCCAACGTCGTTATATCTTGTACTGTCTAAGCCCACTTTCTTATTATCACCATCTTTTTAGTCATTACATTTCATTATGTATTAAAATTGCTTGTTAAGAAGCGATTGTTATTTACTACGATAGGTCAGTAACAGGATTGAAAGAAGATGACTGGATTGTTATATGTCTATATACATATTTTGAGTGAAACTCTTAATTAAAGCATGTAGTATGTGAAGGAATGAATTACAACTAGAGAAAACATACTTGGTCCCATATGTTTGTGCCTAATGCTATGTAAGTAGTGCACATTAGCGAGAAGTTCCAGCATTTCCTATCATTCTTAAAAGGTGGTGATTTGCAACAATTTTTCATTCCATTGATGCCCCCTCTTTTTCTTTTTTTTTTGTAGGATCATGACATCAATCACTTGGTGATTCCTACCAGAGACTATCTTTTTGCACCATCAGATGGAGATATTGACCGAGCTATAGAATTCATCTACAGTAAGTATTTTTCACCCAGCTCTTAAGTAAGTAATGATGATAAGAATCTTCTCCCAGTTTTCATATATCATGGTTTCAAGTATATATCTTACATTGCCGGACTTTGCAGTTTCATTGCATTATCTCTGATTGCCCGTTCATACTTTTAATGCTTGTGGCTTTGAAGGTAATGCATCTTGTGGTAAGACAACATACGTACACTGCAAGGCTGGCCGTGGGCGTAGTACAACCATTGTCCTTTGCTACCTGGTGGGCACCACGCCTAAGAGTGTTCAATTATAATCTGCTTTGGCTATTTTGTGTTCTAATAATGCCTCTTGAGCAGGTCAAACACAAGGACATGACACCTGAGGCTGCTTATGATTACGTCAGAACCATCAGACCAAGGGTGTTGTTGGCCCCCTCTCAGTGGCAGGTATGCTCTTAGCTAGGATACCTGTTCTGCATTGAGGTTTAATTGTTCTTGTTGTTTTTGTTCCAAGTGCAATGCACTTATATTCTTGCTCAATTCTGTGCATCTGAGTTAGAATATGTCAGCCGGTCCCTCACGACTTTAAATTTGTGTGCTTTTGTGTTTTTATGATATGTATATATTACTGCCCTCGGGGCAATAGTTCAATGACAAAAGCAATAGTATAACTCACGCCATCATGGATTTCTTGATGAGAGGGCATTTAATCCACCATTTTATGGAAGCTGGAACCAATGGATTTCTTGGTTATCAAAAAGAAGAAGAATATATTACTGTATTTAAAATGCTTTCCTTGATAGCTTAGAATTCCCTGTCCTTTCTATTCTTATTTTTCTGAAGTTAAAAACGTCATACATATGCAGGCTGTTCAAGAATACTACGCAAGAGTAAAAAATACTGATAGTGATGTTTGTGGAGATGATAATTCATCGAAAATGCTCGACTTTCCAGCTCAAAAAGAAGTTGCTGTCTTTGATGATGGCTCAGTAGTTCTAGTCTCTGAATGTGACCTTGATGGATATGATGAAAGTGTTGAGTCAGATCTAACACGTAACGAAGTGTTAGTGGATTTAAAGCTTGCATGTAGAGGAGTTCAAGTTGCTCGCCAGGCAGCAATTTCTCGGCTTTCATACCTCTGGATTCGCTATCATTCAATGAAGAAGCTGGGAAGTATTGGCGTTGACATCCATGTTTATTGAGATGCCATATATGTCCTAGGCTGTTGTCTGTTGTCCTTTTTGATGGTGGTAATATTAGATGTTTCCTCCCTTTTTAACCCCTTTTTCGTGTCTTCTGAGGAGCTACATCAAAATTGTTGGAAATGTAACTTTCAAGTTGGTGAGAAGAGAAGGATTCAACAAGTGTGCGTAGTTTAATAATATGAAAGTGTTGCGAAAGGGCATAACTGTAATCAGTTGAGTTGTCTTTGTAAGGAAACTCGCGAGGCATGTATTTACTGAATTTTGATGTGTCTAATGCAATATCTTTTTATTTGACCACCCACACTATATCTATATTTGGTTTTGTAAACCATAAAAAATGTTAGTATTATTTTAGTTAATATGACATCAAAATTTGCAAACTAAAAGAACATGAGATGAATGAACAGTAGATACTTCATTTAATTTCAAGCTTTGACAATCTGATTAAATTTCAATCAACTCAAAAAGAATGAAAACACACCCCACAAAGACAAAGCATTTAATTAAAAACATATTTAATTCTTGTGATCCTCCAATCCTTGTAGTGTGACATCATTTTCATGATCTACCTTGAGAAATGGCACCCTACTAACAGAAGCTGATTTAGGCAAAACAATATCATTAGCTGAGGTCTGATGATCATCTGATTTATACTTGTACCAACAAGCCCAATAAATATAATTTATAAAGTTGAGGCAACTTAGAATAGCCAAAAACCAATAGAAAAGTTGCAAATTATTCTGATCCAAATCTTGTCCATCCAACCATCCTTTTTTACTTGAAGAAACTCTTTTAGTAACTGAGTTGATAATGTCAACAAACGCGCTGCTCAAAAAGTATCCAAACGATAGTGAAATCCATGTAAATGAAGTAGAAAGTGACCTCATTCCAATAGGTGCTTCTTTGTAAAAAAACTCAAGCATTCCAACTAATGTAAACATGTCAGCAATACCAAATATTGCATATTGGAAAGATAGCCAAAACACATGTATAGGTTGCAATGGATTTTTCAATGATTGATTCTTCCTTTTTATCTCAACCAATGCAGCTATACCCATAGAGATGATGGATAGGACTAATCCAACGCCTACACGTTGGAGTTGTGTGATTCCAGAGGGATGATTTGTGATTTTACGAGCAAATGGGACGAATAATAAATCATAAATAGGTATGAGAATACACATGAAGAGTAATGGAATGACTGGTACTGATGGTGCTGGTACTTCAAAGGAACCAAAATGACGATTCATTCGATAACCTTGTTGGACTGAGAATGTTTGAAGCTGTGCTAAACATGTGTTCATTATAATGGTGCTGCCTATTATAGGCAACATTCTTGTTACTATTTTCACTTCTTCCACTTTACTCACTGTGCAAACTCTCCATTCTGTTATTTCAACACTTTTTGGAACAACTGCAGCTTTGTCTAAACACCTGCATCCATGCACAAGAGATTTTCAGTTTCACACATAATAGACGTGTAAAACGTCATTTTCTTCTATTCAAATTATATATATAGGCCTTAATTAATTAGTTAAGATATAATTATTACATTACCTGAATTGATTAGTATGAGCAATTTTTGGGTCTGATGAATCTGAGTCTTTCTCATACAATTGTTCAGGGTTATCTGGTAATTGCAGCTTTCGGTTTCTGATCGCCGCAACGATAACCTATATAATTATTATTATAATAAATCGTTAATTAATTGACGTTATACATAAACATATCTTTTAATTTGGCTTTAATTGACATTTATATCCTTTAATTTTAGATGTGTCTAAGTAGATACATAATTGAACAAGTAGCACTTGCCGGAATTGAATTATGTCATTGCATTCAGTGTCGCTAAACATTTATATAGAGTGATGGTTATAAATACTCATATTTATTATTATCGCTAAATCCTTTATATGTTGTAGTATATGTAGACAACTTGGCAATCCATGTGAGACCCCACATAGAAAACATGTACTCCTTTTGTCCCAATTTACGTGACTTACTTTCCTTTTTAGTCAGTCCAGAAAAGAATGACACATTTTTATATTAAGTAACAATTTAACTATAAAATGTCTATTTTACCTTTAATGAAATGATTTACAGCCACACAAATTTATATCATTCATTTTGGACCACAAATTTTAAAAGTCTTCTTTCCTTTTTTAAACTCCGTGCCGAGTCAAATTACCTCACATAAAATGGGACGGAGGGAGTATCTAGTACTGCTTGTTCAACTTTATATAATTTTGTGTACGCTCAAAATTTAAAGGGCATAGGTATGAGCGGATAACCAGATTAAAGGACATGTTTATTAAAATGTAAGATGAATAAAATAAAAAAGAAAGATACCTGGAGTATCCTTGTAAGTGGTGGGGTTTGAGCAGGAAGTTGAAGTTGATAGAATGGCTTTCCAAAGATAAAAATAATGAAACCAAGAAAAGTAGTAGCAAAACTAATGAGGAAACCCATCCACCAACCTTTGCTAGTGCTAATCCAAACAATAATTGTTACACCAATAGCTGAACCTGACACTGAGCTTAACAATAGCCAGTTGAAGTATTTTCCAACTGCTCCTTTTGAATTATTCTCATCAAATTGATCTGCACCCAATGCTGGTAAAGCTCCCCTAACACCACCAGTACCCAATGCTAACAAACACACTGATACATAGAACAATACTGCTATTCCACCTTCTAATGAATTTGCCTTTGGTTGCAAAAATGAGTAACGAGCTTGAATTGTCATCAACGCCCATGCCTAATTAATGTATGCAACCATTAATAACTCATCCATAATTCTACATCGATTGATCAATAAATAAATTAAACTTACGAGTATTTCAGCAGTTCCAAAAATGATAATGGTGTTGAATCTGTTGAGGTAAGTATCAGAAATGAAACCACCAATTATAGAGAGCAAATATGTTGAGCCTAACAAGTTGGTGACCGTGTTGGCTGAACCACTCAGGTCGAAATGCATCTTGAATGACAAGTATAGTACCATGCTCACCATGTTTGCTACAAATCCAATGTTGTCTAATCCCACAAAACCTACAAATTAAAATCAAATTGAATTTCAACTTTATGGGTTTTGAATTTTTACAGTGCAACACATCAAGTATATGTTTCTTGTTGGGTGTGCTGATGGCGGAACTTGCATTTTTGGGAAGAAAGTGATACCTTTTGCTATTGGTATACATTTAATGAATTTATTACTTAATACAAATACATTACCATAGATGAAGGAAGAAGCTCTAAATCCACCTTTTCCTTTCATTTTGCAATTCCTTACAGAATTGTACTCTAACTTTGTACCTTCCTCCTGACAAAACACAAAACAAAGAACCAACAAAAAAATAATAATTAATTTTTTGTTTTGGGGGGGGGGGGGGGGGTGTGGAGGGGGAGCAAGAACTGAGTACTGACCATGGTGGCAGAGAATTGTCAGTTAGACCAATAACTGCCAAAGTGGTTTTAGGACTTGTAAGTGTTAAAATATTTGAGTGAAGAAGTATTATAAAGGCCAGGTTCTAATTATATAATGGAATTTGTTAGTTGATGTTCATGATTATGGTATGGCTGGCATTTATCTTCACTTTGACAATGGTCATAATAGCACAAACTATGGGTTGTGGGCACCCTATACTAAAGTATCTAACTTTTTATTAAAGATTTAATTATATATATATCCTGTTGAAATTACATTGTAACTATGAGTTGTGACAACTTTTTGCCTATAGAATAGTAGTTTATTATCCTCACTTCACTTATTGATTGCATTATCTAGCTAGTAGTGATATTGTGGGCACACATATTGCTAAAGTAGATATAACATCTTTTGCCCACTTCTACATGGCTTGTCTAACAAAGCCAAATCTAGGTAAAGCAGAACCTTCATGGACCCAAAAGTCCAGAGGAGTTGAAAGCAAAATTTTGGCTGGGGTCACCAGGGTTAAAATTCAACTACTTTTCTCCAAAATCAAATGTATAATATAATGCATGAACTTCCCTCAAACACTATTCTTTTGTCCAATCCCTTCTTTTAGATACTCCTTCCGTATCTATTATTTTTAATTGTTCAATTTAAAAAATTGTTATTTTATTTGTTACTAGTATGTCAAGTCAATGATGTACAAGCAAAAATGGACGGAAGAGTAATATTTAAAAAAAAACATACAAATATGTCATTTAACTTGACCTTTGTTGACATTTATGTCTTTCAACTTTGAGTGTGCACGAGTAAACACTTAAACTTATATAAAATTGAACAAACAAATAGACACGCGGGTTATGTGTGGTATAATACACGTAAGATGTCGCGTAGGACACAAATTTTCAGTGGCGTAGCTACACTCATGTTAGGGTGTCCAATTGGACATCATTCGTTGGAAAATTATAATATATATACACGTATAATGATAAACAAAGTGGTTAAATAACATATTCTGGACACCCTTGACACAACAGTATGATATAATCCAGTGGTTTTAAGCGCCTCTAAAGAGCAAAGACACACCTTAAAGTATTTGTGTGTTCAAATCTTAGTAGCACGCAAATCTTAGACACACTTTTAGAAGAAGAGCATTCACACTTACTTTTATAAGAAGAGCATTCACACTTACTTTTATAAGAAGAGCATTCACACTTTAACACCTCGACACACTTCGTGAAATATTGTTCCTTGTGGAAGTAGACGACCTGGATTTGTGTACAAGACATATATCCTACAGCTCCACCAAATAAAACATCCATTCTTGTTTGATGAACTGTCTTTCTAATTAAGATACTTCTCTGAATTAAATGCCATCTAGCTTTGAAAGTTTGAAGAAAATCTGTAAGGTTTCTCTTGTCAGAGCATAACAATTAGTACGTTAGTCTAGTCATGTCAATTTTGGACTTAAAAACGACAGGATAACTACTTGATTAGTGATTTAACACATGAAGCTAGCTCGTTATAATTCACTTATTCCATAATTTTGCGTGATATATACTCTATTTCTCAATTTTTAATTATTCCGTATATTAAAAATAGTTATTTATTTAATTTAAAAAAGAAAAAAATATATAATTTATTATTTTATATTAAATTTATCTTTGTAATTAAATATTATTAATTCTTTAATATGTAATTAATTTATAATTAATAAGAATGATATACTAATAAAATTATTATTTAAACATGAACAAATAAAAATGGAGGGAGCTGAGGGAATAATTGTTTAAACTAGTATATTTGCGCAATTGATTTCTTTATGAATATCTATCTTGGTGTGATGGAACCTTAAAAACTGACAGCTTTTATTTTGTCTTCAACTCATTAATTTGATTTGGAAGAATTATTTGACATATAATGTCTAAATAATACTACAATTTTAGTCAAATGTAATAAGGGGAAAAAAGTCTCAATTAAAAAAAAAGTAATAATTAAATGCATGAGTCTGTCTACATTTTAGTAGTAGTAGTATCATCCAGCAAGTGAGGAATTGGTTATTTTCAGGAATTTAGCATGAGAATATTCTTTCTAAGATTTTCCTGACATCAATGATCAAACTAGAGACGATTGTTTACTAAAAAAATTAGCATTTTGGTTAATAATAGAATTTGTGAATAGTGATTACATCTGAGGTGTAATTCTGTTAGAACCCTAAAAGATGGAACTAGTAATATTTTTTCAGAGTTCTGAATATGGATGACAATGGGGTGGTGTGGGGTAGGGGCGGTGCGGGTTGAGTTTAACAAACAAAATTTTTAATCCACCCCGCTCAGCCCCGCCCCACATAACATTTTTTTTTATTTTCAACCCGCTCCACCCCACCTTGCATAGACCCGCTCCGCATGAACCCGCCTCGCATATTTTTTAAATATTTTCTTTTTCTAGTTAAGTTTGATACTAAAAATACAATTCATAAAAATAAAATCATTTTTTCATTAAGTTGTATTAATTTAATAGGATAGTGACTTAAAATTTTATTTTTTAGAGGTCAATTGGGAAACATGTAAGAAATTGAATTATTTTTTATTGAACCATTTTCATTTACTATCTTGAATATTTTAGTAGCTTGAAAGAAATTATCTTAATAAATAATTCTCTATCATTCTTATAACATGTAAAAAATTAAAACTAAATTTAAACCCATAGAAAATCACATATACCGGCAACCCGCCCCGCATAAGTTTTAAAAAATCCACTTCAACCCATTCCGCATCCCACCCGCCCCGCACAACCTTAAACCCGCTGTAACATCTAGCAAATTGAAAGAACTAGAAAGAACTAGAATTAGAATGAGTGATTTTTGGAAATAATAAAAATCTAGAAAATTGGTCAAGTTAAGTGAAGTTTGAGTTTTTGGTCAACTTCAAACGACCATAACTCCTAGCTCAGGATGAGTTAGGTGTGTTTCCAAATATCATAGGAAAGATCTTGGAATAATCTTTTCAATGCTGCCGAGTTTGCGCGATTCCGAGTTCGTATGAGTGAGTTATGCCCATTGGAAGTTGGGTTGTTCAAATAAGGAAAGTCCAATCCGAATTTTAGAAGGGCATTATGGGCTTTTCACCACCCAATTAAGTTAATTTATTTTTAGCAATTAAATTGGGGTCTAAACTGAAATGGTTCAGTTTAAACAATTGGAAATTTACGCTAGGATTTTTGGAGAAAGAACGCAAGAGGAGAAAAGAGGAGAAAGAGCAAAGTTCGTCGTTCTTGAAGGTTTAGCTTGTAGATTTCGACAAGGATTGATCCCTAAAGAGGTATGTGAGTCTTTCATAGCGTTGGGTTCGTTCACCCACGTGCCAATCATGTTAATTTCAGCGAAGTTTGTTCTAGAAAGTTGATAGTTGATGAATCTTGAATGGTGTTCTTGAAATTGGCCTTCGTTCTTGAGTTAAGTTGAGATTGAGGAGTTCCTTGAGGTTAAAATGTTGGTTCCTTCAGTTGTTTGAGTTAGATTCTTGTGTATACATACTGGGTATCTGAATCTAAAGGGAATTTGAGAAAAGAATCGAGTTTAGGTGAATTGGGGTTAGAAAATGAACAAGGAACAAATCGGGAAGAAACTGGGTACCTGGTCCGCGTCGCGAACCTGTTCCTCAGAAGCGTAATTTTCCCTTCACGTCGCGGCAAGGACACGGACCTCTCTACCTTAAAAATTATTTTCGCGACTAAAATTTAAATACACCTCCGCGTCACGGACTAGTTTCCAGGCAGTGACTTCTTGATCATTTCTAATGTTTAGCTACCTAAAATCATTCCTAAACATCATGAGATCTTTCCTATCACAAATCACAATCTTTGAATCCATAATTCAATTCAAGGAAAGTTAAGAGTCAAGTAAAGAGAAGTTAAGAATCAAGTAAAGAGAAGTCAAGAGTCAAGTCAAGAGCAGTCAAGAGCCAAGTTAAGAGAAGTTCATAAAATTTCCAAAAGTCTTTTACAAATGTTTTAACTTTGTTTTAAGACTTAAGTTTTGAGTTGAGTAAAGAGTAAAGTTTGAAGTGCATTTCTTCAAAAGAGTATATCGGGACTATGTATTCCCAAAGAGTAAATGTTTTCATATTTAAACAAGAAAGGAAATTGAGATTTTCAAAAGAGCCTTTGAGCTAGTTTTCAGTAAAGAGTAAGATTATACGGGAACTAAGTATTTCCAAGAGTTAAAATGTTTTTACATTTGAGCAAGAAAGGAAACTGAGATTTCCAAGAGAGCTTTTAAGCTAAGTTTTGAGTAATTATCTCAAACCAAAGAAAGAGTTTTATTTTTACAAACATATGAGCTAAGTATATTTTGGGAGTAGAATTGAGCACCGATATGGGGATGAGTTTGAGTTCAGATAACTCACGTTTCCATAAACCATGTAGCCATCATGGGTAGTAAATGATCATACTTTTTAGATGAATCCTTAAGATGCTTTTAGCATAGACTAGTGGATCCACTTAGTTAAGCGTTCTATATGACGGCAAAGTATAGGACAGTTCTGGCAGCGTGGGCAAGACGTTGTATCACCACTTAGGCTCATAGTGGTGGTTGTCGGTTAGAGAAACTCCCACAGAAACTATATTACGTTATTATATGAGTAACGCTGAGTTTGTTATTGCATTTTTCTTTAACGAACTAAGTTGTTTTCCACTGTTTTACAAGCTTTCTATATATTGCATATGTTTATTGTTTTATATTGAGTTAAGTTATTCAGGAGTTGAGTAAAGCCAAGGTAAGTGTTCCTTTCAGATCCTTTTCAAGCTTAAGTTGTGTTTAGCATTCCAACTCGCACACTCATACATTTAATGTAATGATGTCAGTTGGCCTGCATCGTCTTATGATGCATACGCAGGTAACTAGGATCAACATCCAGCACCTCGTTGATTAGGTTGAGCACTCAAAGTCAGTTGGTGAGCCTCATTGCATTCCGGAGGACTCTTTTATCATTTGCTTTCTAGTTTTCAGCTATTAGGATGATCGGGGTCCTGTCCTGACATCCCTCTTTGATTTAGAGGC